ACTCAGCATAATTTCCTCAAGGTTCATCCATGTTATGCGGTGGTTTACCGCTTCCCAAGGCTGTAAATCTTGATGGGAGTAGAAAGCCTCATCTTTCTCCCGCGAAGCTGCTGGTAGTTTTGAACTGCTGAGACCCTAAGGTTCGCAGCCCGATTCGTAACCACTACGCTACCAGAGCTCCTAGTAATTAAGGATTACTGAACTATTAGTTTTTCTGTTTCTTATGGGTTCACTGCAGTAATTTTATATTTGGCTATAAAATTGTCCGTTTTCTTTAAAGTTTCAAATTGATTAACAAAGCTGATCATAAAACGGTCTTAGAATTTAAAAACCTAAAATTTTCTGTAGTTTTGTCTGATTCCTTAACTTTAATTTATGTGTGTGCACTCCCATACCTTTCCTTATTTCCTTAATCAGACTTGTTAAGTATGGCCTAATATTAATAAACCTACCTCAGCTTTCTTTTGAATAGTATTTAGCTTGCATCTTTTTGCCATCAATCCGTTTATCTGGGAGTTTTAGTTTGTCTGCTACTGTATAGCAGTATGTAGCTGATATATTTTTTTTAATATTCAACCGAGGCTTTCTATTTTATTAGAGTAGTTGAATCTATAGGATTCTTTAGTGGTTCTTGATCTAGTTGGGCATTTTCCCATTTTATTTTATGATTTTTTCATTTACCATATAATTTTTTTTATTGCATTTCCTTTCTTTTCTGATTTTTTTTTCCACTTTCTTACTGCATATTCCTTATATACTAGTTTAGAAGTTAAATATTCTGTAACTATTTGTCTTAGGGTGGAGTCCTGACATGGCTCTGTAGGGTAAGCAAGATTAGCAGTTCAAACTCATCAGCCACTCCTCAGAAACCAACTTTGGGTAGGAACCGACTCAATGGTTCTTAACAGCATTCTTTTTAGAGGTTATAGTTTAATTTTTGTCATCTACAATTAACAAGTTGAATGAATGTTCATCAAAATCCCTAACCTGCTCCTAAACAATACATCCCTAACCTACTCCTTAACAATACAAAGACCTTGAAATGCTAATTCCCATAGCTCTTTCCAATATCTTTCATATTAACATTTCAATTTAATGTTACCCTTAAAGTTATCCATAAAATTTAGTCATTTTAAACTTAATATTTATTTGGACTTACCAATTGTTTTGTTTTTTGTTATTCACTATTGTTTCTTATTTTCTGCTTTATTTGGAGTTCAAAAATATTTTTTGTTGTTGAAATTTATCCCTTATCTTTTTATCGCTGATCTAGTTCAGTGAGCACCTGTGAGTAATAAATACATGGCTTTGTATCCTGAAAAGGTAGTCTTTATTACTCCCTTACTCTTGAGTGGTCAGAACTTTTAAATACTGTCTACAACTGCTACCGTTGTGTTGCTAATGAGAAATCTATTGCCCCTTGGATTGGTGTCCCTAAGTAAACCATCTTTTCTCTCACACAGGTTTTTAATACTTTTCCTTTGATGTATGCTAATTCATTACAAATTTTATGAGGATTGATTTGTTTTCACTTCTCATTACTAAATTTGCTTCAGTAGAACTCATTTCCCTTTTCAATTTCAGAAAATTATTGGTTATTATCATCTGAATGGGGTCCTGGTGTGGTGCTGTAGGATAAACACTAGACCACAAGGTCGATTTAAACTACTAGGTTGGTATTTCAAACCCACCAGCCGCCCCTCCTTGGAAACCCTATACAGGGTCACTATGAATTGGAACCCACTCTTGTTGTTTTTGTTAAGTGCTGTTGAGTAGGTTCTGACCTGTAACAACCCTGATAGGGTTTCCAAGAAGTGGCTGGTGAGCTTGAACTGCCAACCTTGCAGTTCAAACTGACCTTGCAGTCTGCACATTAACCAGTCTGCACATTAACCCACAGCACCATGCCAGGACTCCACGGAACCAACTAGACGGCACTTAAAAATATGTAACCAACTAGTTGGCACTTAAAAACAATCATCTGAATATTGCCTCATTTTCCTCATTCTTTCTTTTTTTTCTTAGAATTCTTAGCACATGTATATTTGATCTTCTAATTCTATGCTCCATATCTCTTAGGTAATCTTTTAATACTTGTCATCTCTTAGTAGCTATATAAGGACCTCTGGTGGTGCAACCATGAAGCACTGAGCTGCTAATCCAAAAGTTGGCAACTCAAATCTACCCAAGAGTTCCATAGAATAAAGACCTGGAAATCTATTCCTATACAAATTGTTATTGTTGCTGTGTGCTATCAAGTCAGTTCTGACTCATAGCGACCTTGTAAAGGATTTCTGAGGCTGTAAATCTTTATGGAGCAGAAAACCTCATCTAGAAAATCCTAGGGGACAGATTCACTCTGCCACTTGGGGTTGAATTGGAATCAATTACACAGCATCTGAACAACATTATTTCTATGCTGCATTCTGGGTGCTTTCCTCAGATTTAACTAATTCCATTTTCTCTTCTGCTGTGTCTAGTCTGCTTTTCATCCTCTGCATGAATATTTTTTTTCAAGAACTGTACTGGGTTTTAATTGCTATAACTTCTTTCTTTTGTCCCAAAATTTATATGTTAATTTTTCCACCATCTTGCATTTGCCTAGTGGCTTTCTTCTTTTTTATATTCTTGAATACTGAAAACATACGTGTTTTAAATCAGTTGCTTGTTATTCTATTATTTAATTGCCCCAATAATTGTGCCTATAGACTATCTCACAGTGGTATATCTCACTGTGTGGTTTGGCATTTTGGACTGTAAGCTTATTTTGAGTGGGATTTTTCTTTGGAAGCCATAGGGGCCATGGTGCATGGCAGCGTCTTTATAGAGTGGCTTCAGATTTGCCTTTACAATGAGGTGGATTCGCACAGTGTCTGCAGCAATGGGCTCAAGCTTAACAATGACTGTGAAGTTGGGGCAGAACTCGGCAGTGTTTCCTTCTGTTGTGCATGAGGATGCTATGAGTCGAAACCAATTCAATGACACCTAACAACAACAATATAGGTGGCTTGAGTTTCAAGTCTCAGTTTTAGTTTTGTGTCTGTGAAATACATAGATAACATGAATGTAGACCTCCATACCTGTATCTTGTTATTGGGTTTCTGAGTATCTGGTTTCTCAAGAGTATTTCTTTTGTTACTGTGGCCATAGTCAGATAACAAACTTTCCTCCTTCTGTTCTAGAAGTGTTAACAGATATTTTTTAGAACATGTTTCAGGGTGGATTTTTATACTGATAGCTTGGTTAAGGCTTCCTATTCATATGAAGCCTGTGATTCAAACTTACTTTCTAATTCAGACACACAATTCCCCACTTATTATGATCTTGCTTCATCTGGTCCCAGGTTCCTTTAGGTGCCTTGACTTTACTTCTCATTTATAACTTTGTGAGTTTTCTTTCTGTGTCTGTAATATGGGGATTGTACTTTATTTCTAGGTGACCTGTGCATTCTTTGTACAATTCTTTGTATTGTCATGTTTTATCCAGAAAAGACCTTATCCTGTTGTTGTTGTTGTTATGTGCTGTGGAGTTGTTTCCGACTCCTAGTGACCCTGTACAGGGTTTCCGAGGCTGTAAATCTTTACAGGAGCAGAAAGCCTCATCTTTCTCTGGCGGAACAGCTGATAGTTTCGAACAGCTGACCTTGCGGTTCACAGCCCGATTCATAATCAGTATGCTACCAGAGCTCCTTATTTAGAGTAGGCTTTATTTAGAGTAAGCTGGTGACTTTCCATATGTGCCTAATTCAACATATTAACCAGATTTGCTTATATTACTTTACTAATAGGAAAAAATGCAAAAAGTCTTTAAATATGCTTAAAGAAATGTTTTCTGGAAGTAACCTTTTTCTCCATGTTTCTCAGTGCTGAATTTGAAGAACTACATAATTATGAGGCAACAATTTCATATCTGAGACACTCTGGCAACTCCATTAACCTCTGCACCACAAAAGAAATTGCTGATTGTAAGTCTGCTAAGCCAATTAATATTGTAACCCTGTATGGAATGAAAATGTGTCAAAAACGGGATTTTTTTTCCTCTAGCTAAGTTTAGACATGCACAGCCATACTGCTCTACCATCTTTTTTTTTTTTTTTTTTTAATTTTCCCTTGTCTAGTCTCCTAAAAAAAATAAATAAGTCCAGTTGGGCATCAATGCTATCTCACTATTCCTGAAAGGCAGCTGCCTTTCAATCTCCTCTTTACTCTTTCTCAACAATCTACTTTCTTAGATGTTTTACATTTGGTAGATACGTGGGAGAGAAAATCAAGATATGGCCGTTCATTTTTCTTCCTTCTCCTCCTATAAAAACTTCATCTCTCTTCTTGTGGCATCTCTCTTGAAGCTCCCTGGTTACTCAGTGTATGGAGAGAGAGATAAGAGACCACAAGAATTAGGCCCCTGTGTTCAGTCTAAAAGAGAGCAAAGGATTTATTTAATGGATCTGACCACTGGTTCAGAGCTAAGTCTTCCTGCCTCTAATATTTCTGACACAGCTCAGATCTTTTAGTGTAGAAAGATTTCCCTTCAGGTAAGAAGGTGAAGAAGCAGAGACTCATAGCATGGCTGCAAATTTCTAGGTCTTTGTTGTGCCTAAAAGTCAGATAGTCCTCTTCAAAGGGCGTATGTATTAGTGCTGGAATAAATGCTAACATTTATTAAGACTGTCTTGTGTGTTATAGTGCTGTGTTAGGTTGTTAGGTGTTAATATCGTGGTCTTATTAACCCATTTTTAGAGACAAGAAATGAAAGATGACAGAGATGGAGTTGCACAAAATCACATGCACACAAAAGTTTAGCCAAAGGACTTGGAAAGGGAAGTCTAGCAAGACAAACAAAAAAACAAAAAAGTTTCACAAATAATAGTTCTAGTTCAGTCAAACAGAAAGAAAATGAAAACCTGCTGCCCCAGTCTTACCGACAAACTCATCAGACTGTAGGATGCAATCCAGTCCCCCACTGGGGTGGTGTCAGAGAAGGCCATGTGGGTCATTGGAGCATTCATCACTCTTAGGAAGTAATGAGGTCCCACTCAGAATGCAAATGAAGACTACACAGAAATTGCTCTTCTGCCATGACCCCAGTTATAATGAGATGCCCCTTCCTCCCTTGCTGGGGTTGCATCGATGGAAACCTGACAGAGCCAATGCTTTCACAATGTTAGGTGTAATGAAACCACCTACTCATCCCAGTCAGGCTATCAGTGGAAGCTTAATGGAAAGTCAAAACTGTCTGCCTTCCCAGAAGTAACAAGGAGCCCCTCTCTTCCTCAGGTGTCAATGGTGGCCAAGTGGGAAGCCTGGACTTCTGTATCCACCTGGCAGTAAAACTGTGGTACTCTTCCTCCCTTTCTGGGTTGGTGTCAGAAGAAAACAGTTGAAGCAGCAGAGTTAAATAACATCTAGGGTCTCATAACATAAACCCAAAACATCCCAATTTCAATTTAGAATCACCCATAAAAACAGAAATCAGGAAAGATCTCAACTTGAATGAAAAAAGATAATAGATTTCAACGTTAAGATGACTGAGGTGTTTGAAGTTTCTGACAATTTTTTTTCTAACAGAGATTGTTAAGTGGCTATTATAAAGATATTTCAATGAGCCATCATGAACATGCTTGAGAGAAATGGAAAAGAATCAAAATCTCACCAAATAAACAATAAAATGTATAAAATGGAAACTTTAGAATTGAAAAATACAATAAGCAGAATAAAAAGTTCACTTGATGTTCTCGGTGACAAAATGAAGAAGACAAAAATTAATCTGTAATAGATAATCAATAGAATAGTAGACATGTGGACTTGTGGAGAACAGAGAGAAAACAGATCGACACAAATGTTCAGAATATAAGGGTGAGTGAATGATAACAAATGTCTAAAATTTGTGTCATCAGAGTCCTGGAAAGAAAGCAGAAAGAGAATGAGACAGAAAAAGTATTTAAAGAAATAATGACTGAAAATATCCAAAATTTGGCAAAAGACATAAAGCTAGAGTCAAGGATCCAAGCAAATTCCTAAAAACATAAACCCAAAGGGACCTACACCAAGACATATAATCAAACTTCTGAAAAATAAAGACAGGGGGAAAAAAAAATCTTGAAAGCATTATGAGAGAGTGCCTTACTTGTACAGGAAAAGCAATTTAAATAATTTGTGAACCTCTCATCAGGAACCCTGGAAGCCAGAGTAAGATACAGAAAGAACATTGGTGCTGAGAAAAAAATAGCTGCCAATCCAGGGTCCTTTTACCAAAATATTCAAGTAACAAAGAGGAAATAGTGACATTCTAAGAAGAAGGAAAACTAAAATAAAGAAAATTAATTTCAGCAAACCTATCATTAAGGAATGACTAAAGGAATTTTTCTTATATAGACAAAATAATTATAAAAAGAAAAAAAAACTTTGGAGTATCAAAATGGAAGAAAAAATAATAGAAAGAATAGAAATATAAATAAATGTAACATATTCTCCTTATCTTGAGTTTTCTAAATTACATTTGGTGATTAAAGCAAAAATGTTTAACTCTGATGTAGTTCTAAAAGCATGGAATGGAAATATTTAAGACAGTTCCATTATAAGGAGAATGAGGAAAGGGACACAAAGGTAGATAAGAAGTCTGCACTTCATTGTATACATAAAATGGTCACACCAATATATACTGTGATAATTTACGTATATACAATGTAATATCCACAGTAACCACACAGAGAAAGTTATACAAGGAGATACTATCAAAAATATTACAGATAAATCAAAATGAATTCTTTAAAATGTTCAAAAAGCACTTAAAAGACAGGAAATTTAAAACAGAGAAACAAAAACCTGAAAGAATAGGTAGAAAACAAAAAATAAAGGGCAAACTTAAGCCCTAACATATCTATAACATATCAGTGATTACATTAAGTGTAAATTATCTAAATACACTAATTCAAAGGCAGAGATTGGCATATATCGCATCACCTGTCAACAAGAATACCATCTTTATATATTACAGTGTAAGTAGATTGAAAGTAAAAAGGATGGAAAATGATATATCATAGAACATGAGTCAAAAGAAAGTAAGTGCGGTTCTATTAATTGCAGATAAAGCAGACTCTAGAGCAAAGAAAATTACCAGACACAGAGAAAGACATTATGTAATGATGAAAGGAGCAACTCACCAAGAAGATATAGCAATCCTAAATATGTATGCACTGAGCAGTTGAGCAGAAAACTTTGTGAAACCAAAACTGAAAATAGACAAATAGATATTTTTTTCTATTAGAATAGACTTCAGTACCCCTCTCTCAACAATTGATAGAAGAAAGTGATGGAAAGTCAGCAAGGATACAGAACTCAGTAACACCATCAAACAACAGTATCTAATCAACATTTGTAGAACATTCCACGCAACAAGAACAGATTACACATATTTTTCAAATGCACATAGAGCATATACTAAAATAGACCTTATCCTGAGCCAAAACCAAACCATAAAAAAGCGTAAAAGAATTAAAGTCATACAAAATATGTTCTTGGAGCACAATGGAATCAAACTAGATATGAATAACAGAAACATAGCAGGAATATCTGCAAATAATTAAAATTGACCAAAACATCTCTGAATAATTGGTGGATCAAAGAGGTTTCAAGAAAGGTTTTT